TTAGGAATGTAAACAAAAGACAAACATTTTATAGTCCAAATGGGTTAATCTCTTGGTTTTGCCTATTATCTCTCCACTTGCCCGATCCTAGCTATTGCGATGACCATTCCGTAGCTCCCTACTAAGTCCGTCTAACCACCAATCAACACTTTTTCAGATCAAGCTCCTCGTAGAACTCCTCCTACCACAACTCCCCTGGTATTTTGCACTTTTTTGAATCTTCTCCTCATCCAACAATGTCCACAACTAGCACTTCCCTTGCTAAGAAATAACCCAAATTCCAAAATCTTTGCTAAAAAATAACCTAAAATCCTCCCCTCCACTTGCACCTTCCTTGCTAATCTCCAATCCCTTTTTTCTTCTTCCCCTAGGAGTCATTAGTAATCTTGGCTGTAGGAGAGTTGGCTACTTCTAGCAGGGCTTCACAAGCATCGTTAGTCTTCAACCGAGTGAGCCTAAAATTTGCAATCTTCGTTGAGAAATAGCCAAAAATCCTCCCATCCACTAGCAAGGGTATCATTGTCAATTTTCTCAAAATATAACATTCTCATGGTGTGGAATGTTAGCGAAATGTGGCGGAACCCTGATGGTAGGGGAGTAACTAGTCAATTATCAAAAATTGTAGGGGTACTTTACGACAATATATAAATAATAAGGGTAGAGTTTATCAATTAGCTAGACAATAGGGGTAGTTTAAGAAATTTGCCCTATTTTATATTACACAATGTATAAAATAACTTTTATATACATATTGTATGCATTCACTAGTTTATACATAAAATTCATAGGTTCAAAACTAGGCTTGGTGCTACTTGAGCCTAGGCTATTACATTGCTAAGCCTAGCCTAGACCCATGTAGGGCTATGTGTGGGCTTATGTTTTTTGTTTGGAACTCGTGTCAAGCCTAGACCTAGGCTATAGCCTTATAACATGTGGTGGAATCCTTCCTGTTTACATAATGTCTTAAAGTACCTCTACTGTTTCTAACAATTGATATTGTCGTTAAATGATAACGGAAATAAACAAAATGTCAAATTTGCCCATCCACTTTCCGCTGCAACTGTATGCATCATTTTCATAATGCTTATTATCAATATGCTCAATAGGTTGAATGGTCGAAACCCAATAACTATATTGCCCCCTTCACCACCATCCCTTTGGGTAGCTCAAAGTGTGAAGAAATAATATAGGTTTTCATGGAGGTAGCGATGCCAAATTAGGGGTCCCATTCCACACACACACACACATGTATATATATATATATATATATATATATATATATATATATATAGA